GAATTCATGGGTATCCAGAATGATTTGATAGTTATCTAGCTAAATTCAAGGGACCAGATGAGACAAGGTCAACTACCCTTCCATCATCTTGCCCCTTCCCCCCTCAAATAAAGTAGAATTACTAAAACATAAAGAATACTAAATTAGACATGCAAAAGGATGCTAACTTGAGAAAATTAAGTTTTAAATTTTTTTTACAAAATCACTTAGCGATTTACTCAAGAAAAATCATCTATACATAGTATAACTCTTCCTGTCTAATTATTTTTGTAGATCTCAGAATATAACCATAATGTATCTTAAGCCTTGGTAGGAAGGTTTATAAATGATTCAGCCAAAATTCCAGAAGTCATTATAACCTGTCTCTGACCCTGTGTATCCTCCTTTCACTATATTATTGAGGTACAGAACAGAACAACCTAGGTCAGTAGTAATAGATGGCATTTAATATTGTTCTAAATATTTCATACATCTGAGTATTATTTTCAGGAAAATCTTAAGAGAATTCATGTTAATCATCATCATCATCATCATCATCAATAATAATACCTTATATGCTAGAATACACGTGCTTTTCTTTTTTTTTCTTTTTTTTTTTTAAATTTTTATTTATTTATGATAGTCACACAGTGAGAGAGAGAGAGAGGCAGAGACATAGGCAGAGGGAGAAGCAGGCTCCACGCACCGGGAGCCCGACATGGGATTCGATCCCGGGTCCCCAAGATCGCGCCCTGGGCCAAAGGCAAGCGCCAAACCGCTGCGCCACCCAGGGATCCCTACACGTGCTTTTCAAATTTACTCACAGTCTTCAATTTCCTTTAAAAAAAAAAGATTTTATTTATTCATTCATGAGTGACACAGAGACAGGCAGAGGGAGAGAAGCAGGCTCCATGGAGGGAACCTGATGTGGGACTCGATCCCAGGACCCCGGGGTCACACCCTGGGCCAAAGGCAGACACTCAACCGCTGAGCCACCCAGGCATCCCTTGTCTTCAATTTCCTATTTAAATTCATTCATTGAGACTTCCAAAGGAAACAAACTAAAAAAAAAAAAAATGGGGATTCTGAAAAAAAGACCAATAAAGCCTATGGGAGTGAGGAAAAGAGAGAGAAAGAAAAAAGAAAAGAAAAGAAAAGAAAAGAAAAGAAAAGAAAAGAAAAGAAAAGAAAAGAAAAGAAAAGAAAGGAAAGAAAGAGAAAGAAAGAAAGAAAGAAAGAAAGAAAGAAAGAAAGAAAGAAAGAAAGAAAGAAAAAAGATTTCATGAGCAAGGAAGTAAAAAGGTATTAGGTGTAGGTAGGAAAACATAAACATAAGTGTTATGCTAGCCTTAAATAGTATTCAACTAAGTTAATTTTTCTAGAAAAATGGTTGTCTTCTACTTACTGCTTCTTGTTTATGCTTTGTCACTTTGAATTATACTTTAATCTCTCAAAGTATAAGCTTGCATGAAACTGATTAAGAGGATATTAGCTTTCAAACACAGCCATAAGAAAAGTATAACACACTTAGTGGCTCAAAACAACACAAGTTACTGTTTTATGACTCTGTAGTTCAGAAGTCCAACATGGGTCTTTTTGGGCCAAAATCAAGGTGTCAGCAGGAATGCATTCATTCTGGAAGTTCCAGGGAAGAATCTCTTTACTTGCCTTTTCCAGCTTCTAGAATCCACTCACACTCCTTGGCTCACGGCTCCTTTCTTCCATCTTTAAAGCCAGCGACATTGCATCTCTCTGACCCTACTTCTTTTGCGACATCTCTTTCTCTGATTCTCCTTTTCTCATGCCTCCCTCATCCACTTTTAAGAGTTCTTTTGATTACATCGGCCAACCTGGATAATCTGGGATAATCCCCCACTTTAAGGCCATTAATTTAATCCTAAAGGCAAAATCCTTTTTGCCACCTAAGGTGACATATTCATTGGTTCTGGAGATTAGGATATAGCATCTTGGGAAGGGAGCACTACTCTGCCTACAACAAAAGCTTATATTTAAAATCCCATTCTCTGACCACTACCTCCTGTCTCTCTGCTGCATCCCCTCTCATCCTGTGACTCTACAACCTCTGAGCCTACCACTCCTTCACTGTCTCTCGTTTTCTCAAAGTCCTCTCTTCCCTCCTTATTAAACTAAATTCCATGGGTTATCATCACTGTCCCTCCTTTAGGCACATCCCCTACTTCCTTGCCCATCTCTTGTCCCACTCACTCGGTGAAAACCCAACCCTGGTGACTCCAGCTCTCCCCCAGCCTGTCGTTGTCTTTGTGTAGCTGAACATGACTGAAGGAAAACAGCCTTGCTGACCGGTGTCCTATTCAAATCCATACCACAAACTTGACGTGGGCTCTTGATTCTATCTGGTATTCACATGTGATTTCCCTGGTCCATTCTCCTTCCCACTTTCCTAAGGGCCCTGGCATGCCTTCTCCTGTCTTCTCAGACCTCATACATTTATTTCTTCATCCTCATTCTTGGCGCATGACTTGACTCTTTCTTTACTGCAAAATGCAAAACAAGCAGAAGAAAGCCCTGCACATTCCCACATATATCTCTACAGGTCAGCTTCTGTCCTCACATCCTACTTCCTCCTAATGGAACTTGGACTTAATCAAGGCCATCGTGATCTTGCATGTGGAAATGCATCTTTTTTTCTAATAACTGTTGACTGGATCGAGTCATTTCCTTTAATGGGTATAGTTAGTAAACCACAGTAGCAACACCTATGCTTTTATCATGAGTAAACATCTTAGGGATTTTATACCATGAAACAGTTTTTGCATCTACATCAGAATATTATAACACAAACATATCGCTACTTTAAAATTATGGTAGTTATTAAGTGTACTACTAGATATTATTTATGGCATTAGTATAGAAACACATGCATTAAAGTATCACAGATTTGATTTTTAAAATGATTTCATAACTGTGTTTCAAAATATTGGTTTTCTTTATGCTCCTATGTATTTTATGCATTTGAAAACATAACAATGAGGGGGATGCCTGGCTGGCTTATTTTGTAGAGTATGCAAATCTTGATCTCAGGGTTGTGTGTTCAAGCCTCATGTTGGGAGTGGACCACATGTAAAATAAAAAACAATTAATTTAATTTAATTTAATTTAAAAATAAATAAAAACATAACACTGATAAGTGTTAATAGGTTTCAACTGTTAAAGGATTCATGGCATAAAAGAGAGACCATTGAGGGACTGTCCTTGCTGCTATCTAAAGCCAGTCCCTCCATTTGTGCACTAGAACTAGGCTTCTCTCACCCATGAGGACAGATGTCCTCTTTCAGGCCTCCAGATCTATGCTCTGACTTCCTGATTTGGACCTGGAGCAGATCTCTGTGGACAGCACCGACCAGGTTTCCTTGTATCCTGATTTCTGCTTGAGTTTGGACAGTAAAGCACCAGCAGGACATCAAAGTATGGGAGGAGGGAGAAATTGGGATTCAGCTTTGGTTGCGCACCTCTTTCCTCTCAAGGAAGCTGGCTCTCTGGATTCATACATAACTGCCCGCTGATTTTTCTCCTCCAGGGAGTTCTCCTTCTGTGGTGAGCATCTAGTGATTTACCTACCATCCTTTGAGTGCCTTCTATAAGTCAATCCTCACCTCTGTGATAGTCTCTTCAGTTTCCCCTCTTTTGAGTGTGTCATTTGCTTCCTGCCAGGACCCTAACTACTGCCCAGACTCAGAAAAATGGCCCCAGCATCTCTCCTTTCTCCATCTCTCCTACGTTCATTCCCATCAAGAGAGCCTTCTTTCAACCCAGTTTTCCTAACAGCTGCATTTCCATGATAGCCAGACTTACTGTCTCCAGTGGTCTCCTCTACTTCACTCTATAGGACACTCCAGGGGGGCCTTTGCCTCCACCCCCAAGACTGTTCCTCAAGGTCACCAACAATCTTCATGTTGATAAACCCCATGGTTATGCTTAGCGCTCATCTTGGTAGATCTACTGGCAGCATTCAACACAGTCAGATGCTCCTCCTTGATATGTTTTCCACTAAGTGTCGAGAACCCCAGAGGATACTCGGATACTCCTTCTAATTCATCCTTGACTCCTGCTAAGTCTTCTCTGCTGATCTTGCTCTTCCACAGTTCTCAGCCTTTTTTTTTTTTTTTTAATCTATACTCATTCCATTAGTAATTTAGTAAGGAACTCCCTCTAACCTATTTCTAATATGTAGTTGACTAATTTATCATGTTTGATTATTGTCTCTCTCCTCCCACCAGAATGTAAGCTCCCCAAGCCTGGGGATTTTTGTTCACTTGGTTCTTGAGTGTTTCCTAAGTGTCCAGAACAGTGCCAGGCACATATATTTGTTGAATTTAATTGGATAGTAACCATTACCCCCTCATATAAAGGGTAACAATTATGACTTTTTCCTTCTATGAAAGCAAAGCCGTAAAACAACAAGAATAAAATTTTAATGAATGACTATATCAACCCGTAATGAGAACCTTCACTCTAAACAAAAAGACAAGAGACCCCAGCAAGATCAGTAAGTATGACAGTAAATAAAATTAACCTTTAATAAAAGTTGTAAAAATCAAACTTCACATAAAATGAAATTGCAACATATATGACAGACATGAAATTATATATCTAATATATACTGATTTCTTTTAAATTAATAAAAGATTGTATAAGTAAAAAATAGGTGAAAGACATGAAAAAATAATTCACAAAAGAAATAAAAATAAATAAACCAACCATCAATCTCACTGTAAATTCAAACCATAATGATAAGTCACTTTTGCCCATAAAAAAAGGAAATTGTATTTTTTTTTAAAGCTGTACATGTATTACTTTTTAAAAGTAAACTCCACCCCTCAATGTGGGGCTCAAACTCATGACTCTAAGATCAAAAATTGCATGCTCTACTGATTGAGACAGCCAGAGACCCTAAGAAAATTCTATTTTAACTAATATCTAAGCCAATAATTCTACTTCAAGGACCCTATCCCAAATAATTAGAGAGCTGTACAAATACATATGTTCAAGGATATTTATTGCAGCAATATTTATGAAAGCAACATAAAATTCCTACAATAAAGTATGGAGCAATCATACCATGGAATATTTTACAGCTGTTCAAACTGTTTTGCAGAATACTCAATGATATGGGAAAATCCTCAAACCATAAAGTTCAAGGTTAAAAATACTAAGATATTAAACTGTTCACGGACCAGGATCCCCAAATTTCAAATACAAATACGTATAGATACATATATCACAAATTAAAAAATAACTAAAAGAAACAGATATATAAATGTTAATGCTTGTTATTTTTATGCAGTAAGATTATGAGAGATTTTGTTTTCTCATTTAAAGCTTTCTGTATTTTCCAATTTCCCCCAAAGTATCAGATATTGCCTTTCACATTTAGAAAAATAATAAATAAATGTTATTAATAATAATATAAAAGTGAGATCAAAGGGCTTCCAAAAGATGCAAACATAAACACTGAGTGTCCTTTTTTGTTTTATAAATGGCTAAATCTTCCAGCTAAAAAGTTCTTATTTCCAGTAGAAGTAGTGCTTGTGTTTTTTCCTTGACTGGATTTGGATAGAGGATCCACTGCTACGTACTTGATTTGGAAACCTCCCGCTGTCACTGAAGCGTCACTTAGGAACTTCAAGGTCATGACATTTCCTGGGGAGGAGAATACAAAAAAAACAAAGATGTTACTCTGCTTTGATTTAGCTGGCAGTTCAAAGACTCCTCATTCTTACAGGAGAATATAAAAATTCGTGAACCAGACTCCCGGAATTCAGAGCTGGATTCTCAAGCTGTAGAGTCAGTGCTTCCTTTGCCGCCTGTAGCAGGGGGAGAGACTGTCCTATTCTCTCCCCTGGCCCTTCAATCTGTCCTTCAGGAACTTTTGTGTATTCTGTTTTAAAAGATATTCTTTTATGCCAGTACCACACTGTCTTGATGACCACAGCTTTGTAGTACAGCCTGAAATCTGGCATTGTGATGCCCCCAGCTATGGTTTTCTTTTTTAAAATTCCCCTGGCTATTCGGGGTCTTTTCTGATTCCACACAAATCTTAAAATAATTTGTTCTAACTCTCTGAAGAAAGTCCATGGTATTTTGATAGGGATTGCATTAAACGCATACATAGATCAATGGAACAGAATAGAGAACCCAGAAGTGGACCCTGAACTTTATGGTCAACTAATATTCGATAAAGGAGGAAAGACTATCCACTGGAAGAAAGACAGTCTCTTCAATAAATGGTGCTGGGAAAATTGGACATCCACATGCAGAAGAATGAAACTAGACCACTCTCTTGCACCATACACAAAGATAAACTCAAAATGGATGAAAGATCTAAATGTGAGACAAGATTCCATCAAAATCCTAGAGCAGAACACAGGCAACACCGTTTTTGAACTTGGCCACAGTAACTTCTTGCAAGATACATCCACGAAAGCAAAAGAAACAAAAGCAAAAATGAACTACTGGGACTTCATCCAGATAAGAAGCTTTTGCACAGCAAAGGATACAGTCAACAAAACTAAAAGACAACCTACAGAATGGGAGGGGATATTTGCAAATAACATATCAGATAAAGGGCTAGTTTCCAAAATCTATAAAGAACTTATTCAACTCAACACCAAAGAAACAAACAATCCAATCATGAAATGGGCAAAAGACATGAAGAGAAATCTCACAGAGGAAGACATAGACATGGCCAACAAGCACATGAGAAAATGCTCTGCATCACTTGCCATCAGGGAAATACAAATCAAAACCACAATGAGATCCCACCTCACCCCAGTGAGAATGGGGAAAATTAACAAGGGAGGAAACAACAAATGTTGGAGAGGATGTGGAGAAAGGGGAACCCTCCTGCACTGTTCATGGGAATGTGAACTGGGGCAGCCACTCTGGAAAACTGTGTGGAGGTTCCTCAAAGAGTTAAAAATAGACCTGCCCTACGACCCAGCAATTGCACTGCTGGGGATTTACCCCAAAGATACAGATGCAGTGAAACGCCGGGACACCTGCACCCCGATGTTTCTAGCAGCCATGTCCACAATAGCCAGACTGTGGAAGGAGCCTCGGTGTCCATCGAAAGTTGATGGATAGAGAAGCTGCGGTCTATGTATACAACGGAATATTCCTCAGCCATTAGAAACGACAAATACCCACCACCACTTCAACGTGGATGGAACTGGAGGGTATGATGCTGAGTGAAGTAAGTCAATCGGAGAAGGACAAACAGTGTATGTTCTCATTCATTTGGGGAATATAAATAATAGTGAAAGGGAATAGAAGGGAAGGGAGAAGAAATGTGTGGGAAATATCAGAAAGGGAGACAAAACATAAAGACTCCTAACTCTGGGAAACGAACTAGGGGTGATGGAAGGGGAGGAGGGCTGGGGTGGGAGTGAGTGGGTGACGGGCACTGAGGGGGACACTTGATGGGATGAGCACTGGGTGTTATTCTGTATGTTGGTAAATTGAACACCAATAAAAAATTAATTTATTTAAAAAAAGATATTCTTTTAAAAAATGAAAAAAAAATTCTTTGGGACACCTGGGTGGCTCAGCAGGTGAGCATCTGCCTTCAGCTCAGGGCATGACCCCGGGGTCCCAAGATAGAGTCCCGCGTAGGGCTCCCTGCATGGAGCCTGCTTCTCCCTCTGCCTGTGTCTCTGCCTCTCTCTCTGGGTCTCTCATGAATAAATAAATAAAATCTTAAAAAAAAAAAAAAAGCTATTCCTTATAGAAGGAATGGCCACTGAATTACAGGAGAATGTCAGGCAGTTTAAGCCAATGAAATATGGATGGATTATTTATAAATGATGTTAGGGCAATAAGCTTTATGTTGCAAGAAACAAAGCCACAACCCTAAATCCCTACCTTACACAGAGTGCTTAAATGCATTTTACCTGTAATAAAGACCAAGCTGTGCTTAAAAATAAAAAGGAAAATGTTATTATATAAAATAAAATATGAGAATATTTTTTCTTTTTCACCAGGGAAAGGTCTTCTTAATCCACATCACAGATCCAGAATTCATTACAAAAAAAAACCCCCAAATAACCCAAAAAAAACCCCACCTACATTGAATGCTCATTTTTGCCAAGCACAGCTTTAAGTGCCTTTCATCTATTAAGTCATTTATTCCCCACAACACTATGAGGTGGATATTATTAAAATATTTATTTTGTAGGTGAAATTGAGGCATAGAGAGCCCGGTTTGAGTAGCTAGCCCAAGGGTGCAAAGCTAACATGGTGGAACCAGATTTGAGCCTGGTGCAGTCTACTATGTGCTCTTATCCACTACACTTTCCTCAGACTTGGAAGAGTTGCCTAAATTAAAAACAAACAAACAAACAAAATGTAACATTTCATAGGTTACTCAATATATACAAAGTGGCACTGTAGGGCCAGTGCCAATTTGGCAGCATCTACTGACACTTAAAATGAAATCACTTGTGCTTCCAGAATTTCACTTCTAGGAATCTACTCTTAAAAAAAAAAAAAAAAAAAAAAAAAAGGAGCACTGCAAAGTTGAGGTTTAAAAATATCCGGTGAAATGGCCCAAAAACGGAAATCAGAAAAACCATCTTTAGGACTTTAAATGTTGGTACATCCGTACGGCAACCTGTAGGCAATCATTAAAATGAATTTGATGATCTACATCCTGTATGCTGACTTGGAAATATGTCCATGATATCTGTGTAAATACTGTTTATATAGGAAAACACCTGCAATGGCCACTATGCAGTCACTCACTGCCTTTCTTGGGTGCAGAGAGATGAGAGTGGGCATATTCTTACTTCATATACCTTTTATTAAAGTGGTGTAGTTTATGGGTAGTTTTTAGTTCATTCATTTTCTGATTTTGTTTTTTAATATAAATCTCCTGGAGTGAATAAGCACATATTTAAAAAGAAAACTAGATCAAAATGTTAACAGTATATCCTTGACTGGATTATGCTTCAAATATATTTTAAAACTTTTTCTATTACTTGGTATCAATTCCCTCCTTTTGCTGTTTTGCTGAATCTTTGGCTATTTTAACTGTGTTCTGTTCTGTGTGTTGATTTATCTCTCTGAATAATAAATTGTGTGGGTTTTTTTTTTTCAATTCCTTGCAGTTGTGTTAGAAAAACACTGATTTGATTACACTTGCAGTAAGTTTTTTCTATTTTAGACAAAACAAGTAAAATGTCAAGTTTCAGGCTTTGATTCTCCGTTTCTTTCTTTTTTTTTTTTTTAAATAGAATTCTCACCCCCTGAACTACCTCCTACAGCTCCTATCTTCCTGTAACTTTCTGTTAACGTAAAATATGCTCTCAAGAAAAGAATGAGATAAACAATTTAATAGGCTGCCCTTACTAGGAAGATGCTAACAGAGAATGAATAGCTTTTTTAGCATTAGTCATTCAAGGACTGAATAAGAAGTTCCATCTCTTGTAATAATGACGCATAAATGAGAATTTCATGAGAACTCCGTGCACCTCAGGGCTAGGGTGTGGGAGTAATTCAGCTAGTGGTATTTGAGCTTAAGGACTACTTAGAAATTGCAATGCAGTGTATTTTGTTGTTTTTAGTTGCAAAAACATTATGATCATTTTTTTTTTTGACTTGGAGGAAAAAGAGCAAGTAAGAATGGCAACTACCAGTGCTGGGGGTGGAAATAGAAAGAAAAAAAAAAAAAAAAACAAGAACACCCAAGAAAGTGAAGATTCTTAGCTAGAAAATATCCGTATAGGCCAATGGCAGTAGTATTGCTTATTGAAATAAATATATTTGACTACCAGCTCATTGCTCCAGGCACATTGCATAGATCCAAGTCACAATGGGTCCCCTGGGGAGCTCAGTGGGTGGGCCTCTGCCTTTGGCTCAGGGCGTGACCCCGGGGTCCCAGGATCGAGTCCCACATCCGGCTCCCTGCAGGGAGCCTGCTTCTCCCTCTGGCTGGGTCTCTGCCTCTCTCCATGTCTCTCATGAATAAATAAATAATATCTTAAAAAAAAAAAAAAGAACCAAATCACAAAATTCACAGGAGTTAAAAAGTTCTGGAGCTCATTGCCAACCATAACTGGCCTTTTGAAGTTTACTATGCATAATTAGCATATTAAAAGCTCACTGACATCTTCCAATAAAGAGACCAGTTTAACATTGTTCAAACCCACTTTTCCAAAATTCACTTGACCTTAGAGTTCTTTTCTCATGCAACACCTATTCAAAATGTGTCCTGGAGCTGTGTTCTTCACAGCCTCTGGGGAGTGCTGTACTAAGATACAAATGCACTAAGTGTGATGTAAAATTTTTTCAGTGACAGAAGGTATTTTTTAAAATTTTGATACTTTTGAAAATACTTTTCAAGCCTTTACTGATGAAACATTTGGTCTTTTATAACCACGTTTTATGGACGTCATAACCGACAGCAGTGTTCGGGGGTTTGCAGATTCCAGACCATCTCAGACTGTGTTCCTGCACCTGATGAGTTTACACATTTTTAGTGTAAGGAGTTGACATTAGTCTTTAAGTGGAAACACTGCATTTTACAAGCTGGTGAGCTACCTCTGTCCCAATTGTTCTCTCAACTTTAATAAAGGAAATAGTAATAAGTACTGGGTTCTTCACTTTCAGTGACACTGGAAAAACAAATCCCAGTCCTACACCTCAATTTAGAGCCATTACCTGTACTAATGATGTCTTCTGGAAGCTCATCTCCACAGTACCTGAAAGGAAATTTTTAAAAAAGAGAAGTCACGCAAAAGAATATTACACAGCTACTGGACATGGCTCTGACCTGTATTTAAGTGCTTTATTTTCCTAAGCAATGGCTCCTTTTTCTATTATTTTATAACTTTCTATTGTTTGGTTTTTTTTTTTAAACTTGAATTTGTAAGGGGAAAAGAGGGATTAAAACAAAGTTGGTTGTTTGAAATAACCTCAGTATATATGAGATTCTTAAAAAAGAATATGTGGCATTTCTACCCTGTGTACTTGCAAAACTATTTGTGTAGTAGACAATTTTAATCTGTTTGGAAAAATTTTAAATTTGATTCTGATTATCCCATAAAGTTTTCTTCATGGTTAAAGAGGACTAGGTGGATGGCTGATGGTATTAATAATCTGAATTCTAGAGTAGACTGATCTAAATGTGGAAAATTTTATTGGACTTCACAAGAGGGATTGATTTTTATCTGAATCATGACTTTAAAGGAACTCCCTGTACATTACACAAAAGGGACGGATTTATCACATAATATAAATCCAATAAATAACAAATCAGTCTATTGATAACCTTTAAAAAAACAGTATATGATTTTATCTAGGGCTATAACTGATTTCTGAAACTAGGTTTAGAATGAAAATGTCACCTTGATTCTCAAGGTAGGATGTCCATTCTTTCAATAAATACTTTGCTCTTAATTTCTCCAACCCTGTTTCATCTCTTCTTCAAACTATGTTTTAAGACTATTTGTATTTTTCCCCATAGCAGCAAGATAAAACAAAGAATTTCCCTCCAAAAATCATTGTTCACTTATGCAAGAAGTGCCTTCGTTTCTCTTTGTAGTTAAGTTACACATTTCTTTTTTTTTTAAGTTACACGTTTCAAAGTCACAGCAAACTACTGAGTGTATCATTTTTAAGTGTCCTCACTACTATTTTCTTTCATTTAATTATTGTTATGGATAATAGAAAATTGATAACTGATAGTCTATTAATAATGGATAGTCTCAGATATGCGTTATTTGGTAGGGGGCTAAATAAATAAAATACATAATTATATGCTCTGATTTGTAATATTTTGTGAGACAAAGTTTAAACTACACTGAAGATCTGGGATGGCAACACAGAACTGTGTCCCAGCGTGTTGAAAAACCAAGATAGAAATATTGAGGAAAGGAGCACTTGTTTTTGTGGCAAAGAAAGCTATTTTAGGGGTGCATGGTTAGCTCAGTCAGTTAAGCATCTGCCTTGGGCTCAGGTCAGGATCTCAGGTCCTGGGATCGAGCCCCACATTGGGCTTGCTGCTCAGTGGGGAGTCTGCCTCTCCCTCCTGCTCTCCCTCACCATCTCTTGCTCTCTCTCTCCCTTTCAAACAAATAAATAAAATCTTAAAAAAAAAAAAGAGAAAGCTATTTTAAAGACAATGTACAGGTTTAGGTAAATTTTGTGAGAAGGGGCTATACTTTGCTTAATTCTTACATTTATAATGCTTAACACAATGCTTTGTACACAGAAGAAAGGCAATTGTTACTGAATTTATAATTATTTTTAGGAGGTTGATAGTAATTACAATACTTAAAAACCCCAACAAACTTCTCAATTCACATGTCTTCTTCCTGCTTTTGTTAGTTGAATTCTGAGGTCTTTTTATTTTTTTTTTTTTTTTGAAAAGTTTTGTTTAAGTAATCTCTAGACCACACATGGGACTTGAACTCAAGACCCTGAGATCAAGAGTTGCATGCTTTTCTGACTGAGATGCCCTGAGGTCCTTTTAAATAGACTATTTGATTCTTACAACTTAACAGTAATCAAAAGTCAGCTGTCACTGTTTTAGTTATAAGAACATGCAGCAGCTGACTGGCGTCACCTATGAAGAAAAATCTTTGCTAAAAGGGATATGGTGTTGCAGGGAAGTAGAAATACTAGATAATCGATAACTGTGGGGACCTTAAAGAAAATTAAATATCAAACAAAACGTTGGAGGTATTTTTAACTCCTTTATATGGGAAACACATACCTTCCCACAAAACCATGGACGTCATCATAACTGTCATATATTTCAACATAGTCAGCCAAGCAGGCTGGGTCATCCTCAAGGTCAAAGTCCAGGAAGCTCAGGTGAACACGCTGACCATACTTGACTCTAATGTGCCAGTAGCAGATCTGGTTATCATCATACTCATTTGGGAAGCCTGGAGATTTAAAAATTCGCTTTGGATCTGTAAAGACTCCACCACACTCCTTTGCTGAAATGGATACAATGAAAAAAAAAAAAAAGAAAGAAAACAAAGCATTAGAAGAAATATAACCTCTGTTTTAAGCTGTATGCACGTCTTAGCTCCTATTTATTACTTTTAATGATATGTTAAATATGTATTCTTACAGCTAAAGAATGAATGTTTTCATTATTCATCACTAAATTCTTTCAAATGAATATAGACTGAATTAAAAGATAAAATAGCAAGAAAAAAAATAGCAATTTAACTAATTGGGCTCCTATTTACTTTTTTTGCTTTTTATCTTCTTAGCTTAGAATGCACAAATCTCAGGGCTCAGTGATCTCAGGGTTGTGGGTTCAAGCCCCACACTGGGTGTAGAGATTACTTAAAAATAAAATTTTTTTAAAAGAATGCAGGTCTCATGTGTACATGCTCATGTATTTTGATGACTGTGTATACCCATGTTACCAACAGCCCAATCAAGATGGCTGGGATTTTGTCCTTTGTGTTGTTTTGTCAACACTGTATCTTCAGAGACTTGGACACGTAGGATAATGAGTCAGAAAAATTCTGTTTGGGGATCCCTGGGTGGCGCAGCGGTTTGGCGCCTGCCTTTGGCCCAGGGCGCGATCCTGGCGACCCGGGATCGAATCCCACGTCGGGCTCCCGGTGCATGGAGCCTGCTTCTCCTTCTGTCTGTGTCTCTGCCTCTCTCTCTCTCTCTGTGTCTATCATAAATAAAAATTAAAAAAAAAAAAGAAAAGAAAAATTCTGTTTGGAAAATCATTATAGAATTTCAGGATCACAAGGGACCTTGAAAGTCATTCTAATCCAGTTAAAGGAATAATTTATAACCATTCTATATGCCTTTCACTGGTTTTAAATTATCACCTTAATCCTAATATTTGAGGATTTGATGGAGATATTCATGTTTGGTTTTTCATTTTTTATTTTTATTTTTTAATTTTTTTTCTTTTTCATGTTTGGTTTTTTAAAGTCATTTATCATTTTATAGATTTCCGTCCTGCCTTATAACTTGGTATGAGAACAAACAATCAAACAACCTCTGCCAGAACCTGTGATTATATAGTGTGACCTGGTGGGAAATGTATGGAGAAGCCCTGGTTAATTTCAATTTCAGATCAAGTAAGTGTCTAATGTCTTGAAAAAAAGATCAATCTGGAAACTCAAAAATAATGTGAATGTCGGTGGTGATGGGGACTGTGGTAGCATTCGAAGACATTTTTCATTATATCAGTCAGAGGCTTTTTCCAAGAGTATTATCTTTTCAAATAGCTATTAAAAAAATTGTGTTAGAATTCTTAATGCCATAGAAGTTAAGGAAGCTTATCTCCCCAAGGGCCGAACAGGATCTTAGAAAGTTAGAGGACTAAGGAAGGTCAGGGATCTAGTCTGAGCTCTGTGACTATTCTATACTTCAAGTTTTTCATTGGTAAAGTAAATATGATCGTGCCTCTCCTATAACCTACCTCACAGGGCTATTAAAGGATAGCAACATCAAAGATAACTTAAGGGTGTTAGGTAAAACGTAAGCTGTTCTTATTGTATTCTTGAATATTATATAATACTTAGATTATATGTGTACATAAGCATGTACAGTGCCAGTTTTTGCAGTGATTTGCTCTGTCCCATACCATCCTATCTCCGCTGTCTATCCCATAAGATAAGGAAACAATTCAAATATTGAGCTATTTGGTTGTCTATTTAGCTATCCAGCTCTATGTTTTATTGATTAATTATAATCATTGGTTTCTTTTTATGATATCATTATGATTTTTTCATTCCAATTATTTTTCATTGAACTTTTCTCTCCCAGGGCTAGCTCAGGCTCACCACATCCTAAAAAAATCAGCATGTCACTGAATCCAAAAGTAAGCTGAGAATTGAGTAAGAATAAGTCTCCCAGGATTCGGTACAAATATTCCCAGAGTAAAAAAGGATTCAGCTTGTCTGAGAAGCAAAAGCAATTTATAAAAATGTGTCAGTTAAGGTGGCGCTCTTATAAAAGGGCAAGGAAATACTGTAAGGAACTTTCCACTAGCACTTCTTCATCTCCCCTAGATCTTGACCTGTGGAAATGACTGAATAGATGCTCAGGGATCCTAAAGTCTATCAAGCAAAGGAAGAATCAGAGAATATACTTGGAAATAAAAGTGACTCTTGGGAGTAAAAAGAAGCCTGCTTGTATAAATATACTGAAGAAAAAGGAAGAGGGAGGAAGAGAAGATATGGGAACTATTAATAATAAATAGAGAACTAAATATAACATAGGTTTAACGTATGTCAAGGTGATTTGAAAATTATAGTCCTGCATAAATGCACTATACATATTTATTCATATTTTGTCTTAAGTGGGCATAGATGATGGCTCTAGGTTAAATTCTTTTCTACTTAGAATACAGATTAATTTGAGATAAAGATTAGTTACAAGCATGAGAAATGGCTCTTCAATGGTTAATATCATTAAATAATAAATTCTATAGTAATATGCTAGACCTTCACTATAACTCACTGTAACTTCACTATAGCGACTTTCTTATAAGGTAGATTGACACAGGACAACACCTGAGGATGCTTGGGATCATAAATGTGAGGAAGACTTGGTAACATATTGTAATTCTTTGTAGTATCCTCCTGGGGGAAATGCACCAAAAAAGAACAATCTATTTTTTCTCCAAGAACATGAACAAAGAATAGCTCTTTATAGTAATTATGTTGAATCAATTTTCTTTCTTTCTTTTTTTTTTAAGGTTTTATTTATTTATTCATGAGAGATACAGGCAGAGGGAGAAGCAGGCTCCCTGCAGGGAGCCCGATGTGGGACTCATCCCAGATCCTGGGGTCACGCCTTGGGCTGGGCAGACACTCAACCCTTGAGCCACCCAGGCGTCCCTAATTTTCTTTTAAAAATTTTCCTAGCTACAGTCAACCATGGGAAAATATAAATAAAAATATACTATATAATAAAACTAGTATATCCAGTATATAATTGTGAAAACAAACCACAGAGTGAGGGTTGCTTAGTTTGGAAGTTAAAGAATTTATACACAAAAAGAAATTAGGGGAAAAGTTTACTTGGTCTCTTTTTTTCCTCCATTCTATCAAAGGGGTAATTTTGAACAGTTAACATTTGGTAGTATCACTTTGTTGTTTGGGCTAATTAACCATGACAAGTTTATAGCCTGCTTTTTTTTTTTTTTTTCCTTTGTGGTTAGGAATAGAAAAAAGACCTGAATCCTGGATCCTGCCCTGCCTGCTAATTATTGGATATCTGATTTGGGGTAAGTTATTTAATTATCCAATTTCCTGATTTCTAAAATGGGTATAACTGGGACACCTGGGTGGCTCATCAGCTAAGCATCTACCTTCTGCCCAGGATGTGATCCTGGAGTCCTGGATCCAGTCCCACATCGAGTCCTGCGTCTTGGGAGAAGGGAGCCTGCTTCTCCCCCTGCCTGTGTCTCTGCCTCTCTTTCTGTGTCGCTCATGAATAAATAAATAAAATCTTTAAAAAATAAAATAAAATTGGTAGAACGATAGCTCCTTGCAGAGTCATCACGAACGCTGATGGTGTAGATGAGGAGTATGAGGCAGTGTCTGGCCCAGCATAATCACTCTGTAAATGGTTGTTGTTATTAATAGTCATCATCACCAAGTTGATTTATCTCTGGGAGAAGGAGCCATTTGTTTTTAATAACCTCTTAGTAACATGTAACGGTTTTAGCAAAGTATAAAATTATAATTTTTAACAAACCATGTGGGTTGTAGCAATAGGCATCCCATCTTTCACTCCTATTAAGACGGACTCCATAATCGATAATACCAGTTTTTTCCAAATCCACAGTTGGGCCCCGGTTTCACAATGGGGTATCCAACTCTGCCCTTGGCCATCCACCCAGCAGCGCAGACGTGAAATCCTGCAAGAGAAGGAAAGGATTATGGACTAACCAGTAAACCCCTCAGCTGAGTGAAGGTCATCTTAACAAAAGTGGCCCCTTCTCAACTGCCCTAAGCCAGGTAGGTAAAAGGAGAAAAATGGTTTTCTTTCTTTTATTTTTATTATTTTGAAAAACTGCTTTCTAAAAAAAAATAAAATAAAATTTGAATACATATAAAATATAACATCTGACTTTTACTAGAAAATGATGTCTTACTTGAAAAAAAAAAGAGGCAGATGGACTGGAAATCATAATCCCATGGATGCGAAAACAATCTAAGTTCAGAGCTGGCTCCGTTTCCTAAATGACCTATCTAGTGCCATGAAATAATTTTCGAAATTACCATCAGTCCTGGAAAATAATTATTTTTCAAATGATAATTTAATTAATTTCTATTCCAGGATCAATTAAGATTTGCTAATATGTTTAAAAATTTGAATAGGGATAAACGTGCTCATTAATTCTGAACAAAGCGTCAGCCCTGTTTTCCCTGCCCAGCTTCAGAGGCTGTTTAAATATTGGCCGCTGCCATCCAGGAGCGGTTCTACTAAAGGTCCGGGAAGCCAGCAATGGCCTTGGCCTTTGTGTCTATCGTGCCAGGTACCGCATCCCCGACCGCTCTGTGGGTCTAGACTGAGCAATGTGCTGGCTGGACTTTGCAGATTTCTAGAGAACAGTTTTATTTTTGTCCTGAGAAATACATATAATAGCAGCATAAGCTTTGCCAGGTGTTTTTTTGTTTTTGTTTTTTATCAGCAAAGGGGTTTCTTCAGTGGAGAAGAGAGTTCCGAATGGGGGTGGCCTTTTGGATTCTCCTGTAAATCCACGTAAAACCACCAGGAGAGATGGATCATGGTGCATTTTTTTTTTTCCCTAAAAAGAAGGAACTAGCACTAGTTAATCACTGCCTTTGCACCAGGTCTCTGGTCATCGTCGTCTCAGTTTCTTTTTCCTGCCGTCTTACAACCCGCTTATCTTTCTTTTGATCCTCAAGTACAACTGCATTCTCCCACTTACCCTACAGAAATCGGGGAAAAGGGGCGCCCGGGTGGCACAGTCGGTTAAACATCTGACTTTTGGTGTCAGCTGGGGTCGTGATCTCAGAGCAGTGATTTCAGCATTGGGAGATGGAGGCCGGCCTGGGGCTCCTCGCTCAATGCAGAGTCTGCTTGTGACTCTCCCTCTCCCGCTGCCCCCCCCAACTCCCTGTACCCCCCACCCAACATGGGCACTCTCTCTCTCTCTCTCCTCTCCCTCTCTCTCTCTCTCTCTCAAAAGACATAAATCTTAAAAAAATTTTTTTTTTGAAAAAAAGAAGTCACCAAATTCAGTATTTCTTCTAACAAGCATCTGGTAGAAATTTCTTTGAAAAACTCTCACGGTATAACATTTCACATCTAAGGAAACCCAGGCTCGGGTGTTAAGATAGAACAATGATACAAATGAATAGAAGTGGCATTAAAATCAGGAAGGAATTGGAGTGATGTTGGGATAATGAGCCTTTGTTCTCCTCTGACTTCTAATTCTATTAGGTCACAATGTTTTGTGACCCTGAATAAGTGGTGAGCACTAAGAACTCCCCCTGGTTCTGGGCAGAGCAGGTGGGCCGAACCAGAGAGCAGAGAGGTCCTGGGGGCTTCGAGAACTTCTGGAAGCCCTGGAGAGAGACCCTGTGAAGGGGCCACAGGAAGGTGGGATCCCACCCTCCCCGGGGGTGAAAAAGGAGAAAATCCGTTGGTCACATGCATTACCTATTTTACGGGCCGCCTCCAGCTGCTTGTAGGTGGCGAGCCGGCCGCCCTCGAACTCGCACACGGCCTTGGCCTCGGCGTACGTGAGCCTGTAGCGGCCTGACCGTGCTTCCCGGTGGTACACGCCAGCTGCCTGTTCTGCGAATTCACAAAAGGCCGTGAACACACTAGGTAGGATTCATCCTGGCAGAGCGAGGGGCCTTGTGGCCTCCCCAGGAGCCTCCGCAGCCCTGGTTCCTGCCAAGGAGTTTCCTGGGCCAGTGGCCTCGGGTGGGTACGTTTCATGGTTAGAAAGCTTTTTGGGGGAAAATATGAATGAGGGGAATTTTAGAGAAATTTGAGGACATAGAGGAAACTGGAGGCTAACTTATGTTCCTGAACTGATGCCCTGAAAGAAAGCTGCAAACCAACACTGTGTTTCTGCACTATCAAAAGGTGACAAAGTTTTGACTTTTTTGGCTTTCTTTTTGGTCAGTTGAGAACTTGGAAGGGTAAACAGTAGGGGGGGTGGGGGGGTGGGGGGGTAGGGCAAGAGAAACCAATGAAAATTGATCCGCTCTGTAGGCTCACAAAGGTGGAAGAAAATAACCCAAAATATCCGTTTGAGGGAAGTGACTAATGCGACATAACTGAGAATTTAGTAAACAAATCAAAAACTACAGGAAGGTGTAAAGGAATCCCAAGCAAATAAGGACAGCATTAAGGAAAAAAAAATATAGATTCAAACACAGCAAAGAAAAAGTTGGGCATGGCGAACTACCAGTTGCCAAATTCTTTATCTGGTTTGTCTTTTTTTTAGTTTACGTGCCGTTCCCAACATATTTTAGGGTGTAAGTCAGAATGGATTGTCTTCCAGGACATCACTGTTTAAATTGTTTTGAGTTTGGAGTGCACTTTGCCATAGAAACAACGTGAGACGTTTTCCAGGACAATAATCATAACACCAGCTCTAATGGTTCCGTGTAGACGACCAGATTGTGATGAAATCTTGGTGCTGTGACCCGTGGTTCCGTATAGACGACCAGATTGTGATGAAATCTTGATGCTGTGACCTGGACAGCCCACCACCCATAAGGTCACTCCTGAGGAAGACACAGGTCCCTGGGCCCGCAGCAAGACACGGCCCCCAGGCCGAGGCCGACACCCAGCCGTTCATGGAGGTGCTGCTGCCCCCTTGTCCTGCCCCTGAGGCCTGCGAGGTGTCCCCACATTTCACAGTAAAGTCCCGACACTTATGCACCGAAGACCATGGTCAATCGGATGCTCAAGGCCAGGGGACGCAAGGAACATCAAAGCTCCCCGTCCTCCGAAGGTCGCCTCCTGCCCTAGAGCCCCTCGTGTGGTGAAGCCTCCTTCACCAAACTGTGGCTGGTTTCCAATCTGGTTATTTTGAAAATATGCCATGCAGTTTGCCAAGTGCTGTGGATCGAGTCCTGGTCTCAGGCGACCCGGACACGAGTGGGCAGGCAATGGAAGCGCCTTTATTTTGAAGTATAAGAGTACTAAGACTTTTGGTAGAAAAAGGAGATGTGTTGAGCTTTCTCCTGTATCATATCAGAGATGATCAAAAATGTTAAAATTGTGTATGTTCCCTGAGAATATAGGCTATCTGGTCTTTACCAGTAGGAATTAATTTAACACATGTTTCTCAAACTAAGATTTCCTTGTGTTTTACTCCCTAATCAAAATGTGATGTTCATAGGGAGAAATTAATTAACAGGTTTTTGAAAAACAATTTTAAGCTTTCGTCCAGGTGATTTTTCTTAAACTTCGAGTCCTAGAACTCATCTAGTAGTAAGATAGTAATTTAAATGGTGGAAATGTAGCATTTTAGCATGTTATTTATTTATTCATTCATTTTAGCATTTTATGATAGCGTTTTAAATTCATTAAATCGTATTCTATATTTTTCCTGAAAGAGCAACAAACTTCCTATTATTTTGCCTTTGGACAGTTGAAATCTCGTATGTGTTTGACAATTTTAAGCACACATTTATTTGAAAGTATTCCTCAATTCAGAATTTTAAACTACTAAGCTGGTCCTTTGTACAATGAGTCATAATTTTAAAAGTTTTACCTTTCAGAAGGAATAATTTATTCATTTTTATAGCCCACAGTCATTCATTCAAACTGAGTCTTTAACCAACCCTTGTTCTCCTGTTAGCATGGGACGACAGGAGCACGTTGGCTCTAGTTTCTCCTCCTGGTTCTGTGACCTTGTACAAACACCTCGGTGTCCTCATCTATCAAATGGGAATAATGATAGCTTTGGAATATGTAAATCATTAAAACCTGCAAGCATAACTTCTGGATCCTAGTAGGAGCTCAAGATAATGTTACTTGTTCTTCTTTTTTAAGATTCAATACAATGGCTGAAAAGAATTGCTTACCTGAGCAATTTTTATTTTCATAATCTATGTAAATTAGTTGAAGTGTCTTGTCCTTATCATTAAAAAATTTACTATTAAGGAATCATAATTGCTATTTAAGGAACCGGAAGATGCCAGAGTTAAAAATGAACCTTAGCGGTCCCCTGCTTTGACTTTCTCATTTTACTAGTATAGAACTGAGACCAAAAGCTTAAGGTGCTTTGTTTTGTGATAGTTACTAGCAGATTCCTACCTTCCTACCCAACTCTCTTCCTTCTCTAAATGGTTCTTAATACCATATTGACCTAACCAACTGTAAACAATTTGTGTTAGGCTGACTGGTCAATAATTTGTCCCAGATTGAAGCAATTTGCAATTACCCTGAGCCTCAGATTTGCAGCATACTATTAACATTTGGGTACGCTCCTCTCTACCTCTAGGACAGAACTTCTATTGTCCATGTTCACATTTTTGTAATATACAGCATCACTTAAAAAAAACAACAGCTCCAAATTGCTTGATCATTAGAGAGTTTGACGGCGTTTCAAGGTTTGTGCATATGGATTTAAATCTTACCAGCTTTATGGCAGTTTTTTCCACTTGTAACAAATGTGTATATTTCTTAGGTTTGGGGATGTGCAAGGGAAATAAACAAAGAGACTTGTTCACTCCTCGAGAAAGTCCCAGACCCCATCTTGGTCAAACGGATTGCACTGTTCAGCATGAAACTAGTTCACTGGCTCAAGCTGAAGGGGGCAAGGCTGTGCATTGCAAATCGAGCTTTTTAATGAAATCCGCATGGCTGCAGTTATTTCCAGAGAGACACATGCTGAAAGGGAAAATATTCCACAGCCATGTGCCTCCTGGCAAGCATAAAACCAAGATCTAGGTTAATTTTGGTTTCTCTGTATTTATTTTATACAAGAATTTGTCGATTTTCTTCTTGAGTGATTAAAATTTTTTTCACAATCAAACACAGTGATGAACATAAAGCAATATTAATTTGTGGCCTGAGAAAGCATAGTTTAGAGTGCCATACAGGGTATTTTGAGTTTTCCCTATTTAGCCTTTTTTGGTCTATTGTTTATATTCACAGGCGCTTGTCATTCCTTACATTTAACAAAACAACACAAGAAACTTTCCTTGTCTAACAAAAGGGGTAGAAAAGTATTTATATGGATAGCTCAAGCAAGAGGAATCAAAGTGGTGAGACTCCATTCAGAAATACAAGCTTTTCTTCATTTGTTCTGTATTACAAGGTGGCTTTGCATCAAACTAGTCCAAAGATGTTTGGAAAAAGCAAGATATCCATTACAGGTCAGAGAACACAGGCACATGATTATAAAATCATTGTATATCCCAATTTACCTGTGATGTTTCTGGTATGGTTACCTGCTATGAAAGCTGAATGCAAATGCATTGAAGTAAATACAAAATACGGTGTTATTATTTTGCTCAACTTTCCATACTATATACCATCACATCTGCCTTGAAAAATATTTTTTTCATATGGAATATAAATATTAACTTCTACTGAATAGTTCACTTTATAAAAAACTATTTTTTAACTTTAGAAAGCAAGAACAGTCATTTTTTTTTAAAGGCACGTGCATTCCAATAGCTGTTTTTCCTCAGCATTTTGTTTTAAAACAGCAGCCTTGAACAGAACAGAAAACTTTACTTTTCTCCTTCGACTCACTTCTCCACTAATTCAAAGAAGTAACGCCCCCAATAAGAAGCTCATGAGTGAAGTTTCTTACCAAGCCATATAGAGTTATGAAAAATCCCGTTGTTGAATCCCCATCCATGCGCCTCTTCCCACAGCAAGACAAATAAGGAAATAAAGATGATCATATCTTAGTTGTAGAGAAGCAATAGCCTGTTAGAGGCTGCTCAGGATAAGCTCTCCAAGCAGAGGCTGAAATGTGACTGAAACATCTGGTTTCCACATCTTTTAAATGGTTTTTTTCAACTGTGAGGTCAGCAAGTACTCTCCAATGGGGTTTTTCACTGTAGAGTTACACAATTAACTCAGTGTCTGAAGCAAATCCTCTGACTCATTTGCATTGGCAACCAAAATTAAGGATATAGCATGATCATCTACATTTTAAAATTCATGTACTTGGAAAGTGGTTCATTCAGTCTGTCACAGACATTTTTCAATTAAGAAGTTTGTGTAACTCGCTGTAGATTCAGCAGTGATTAAAACAAAAACAGAAAACTTTGGTAGGAATTTTAAGAGAAAACCCTGAATGTCTTATTTGCAGTAAGTCCATTATAGAGCGTGGGGTTCAGGGTCAAGCACTCATCTTGAACTTGACACTGGTAATGTTACTGTAATTTTCTTAAATATTGCCAAGCTTGTAGAGGAAATTTAAAACAAAGGTGTACATAGTTTGGTAGATCCTAAGTCCTAAGCTGTCTCCAGTGATGTCTTTACCCTCTGTCTGTGTGTGTCCTGGGGTGAATCTCTTGCAGACCTTGGTTTATTGTGGTCAGCAGGTCAATACATCAACTTCCAGAAAAGTAGCTCCATCTCAGAGCTTTAGGACACATCCCAGCAGCTCTGGGGTACCTTATTATATAACACAAATTTCTTGAAGATCGGGGAAAAGGGATTGAGGGGGGTAGATAGAGTTAATAAAGACATGACCCTAGCTTCCCCCCACTCTAACTTTGAAGGTGATCAAAATAAAAGGTGATAATTACTAGTAGTAAAGTCAGCATACCTTAAAATAGCTCAAGCTTTCCACTCCTTTTGTGGAGGGTCCGTGGATCTAGCGATAGCCCCATTGCTCTGATGCTAGTGCCATTTCCTGTTGACTGACAGCCATTTGGGGGCAACGTTTTAGTTTTTCTATTCTTGCTGCCAAATTGCTTTCCATTTGTTTTCATATTCATTTCTCTCGTGCTTTCTTCGTCCCTCCAGTGACTTGGAATCCTTCGAAAATGCCAACTTTCTGGACTTGCCTGGTCTGAAGTTAGCCTGGAATCCCCTAGGTGTCTTTGCACTGAACATTGAAGGCTTGTTCTCATCTCTCCTGGAAACAGCAGTTGTGAGGACGCAAAATTCACTGGATGCTCGCTGAGGTATGCATAAAATTATTAGGGTTCAAAATCTCTATTTTGGCCCCACAACAAATGAGAAATGAGGGAATTGTATCCCAGCTCACTGAGAGGGTTAGAGAGTTTCAGTTTGGTACAAAAAAGGATATAGTCTAGACCACGTGGGTGTGACTGTGAGGAACACAGCCGTGGTCAGAGAGAACAGGATGAATGGATAGTTGGAAGGAACAAACCATGACATTTTTCTGGAAAGTAGAATTATATGAGTATTTTAAGTTTGTGGTTTAGGAAGTAAATATAACATAAGGAAGGCTGCAGCACAACCATCACAGCTTCCTCATTCTTTGCCTGGTCACATATTTCCGGCTGTGCCCTTTCCACATTTCTTTGAAATACCCAATTTCCCCTGGCTCTCATTTACTCAAAAGTCACTCTCAGGAAGGGGTTGGAAATTAATCTTTACTTAGGTCACATAATTAACAACAACATCTTTGTTTATTTGCATTTTAATGAAGCCCCAAGTATAGGAAGGTATGAACGTTGTTTTAACATGAAAATTTAATGATTGCTTTGATGGATTAACCCAATCCAGGTAGAGGACTTCATTTCCTCTCCCCCAACTCCCCAAAATACAAATATTTCCCCTTACCTCCATACAATGTTTGGAAACCCTACCCTCCCTTTCATCAAGCAAATTGAAAACCGTGCCTAATAGATGTGGTCTCTGGTTTTGAGGGAGTGTTCATTTCTATTGTCAGACTGTTCTATTGTTCTATTTCTATTGTGAAAGAAAAGAAGTGGATGAGGATTTTCTTTCTTTCTTTTTTTTAATAATAAATTTATTTTTTATTGGTGTTCAATTTGCCAACATACAGAATGTTACAAATATTCAATTTGCCAACATACAGCACTGCCAACCCAGTGCTCGGATGAGGATTTTCTATAGAAAAGATGCAGTGGGGGATCGCCTGGGTGGCTCAGTGGTTGAGCATCTGACTTCGAGCCTGGGGTGTGATCCTGGAGACCCCAGATCGAGTCCCACATCAGGCTCCCTGCATGGAGCCCGCTTCTCCCTCTGCCTGTGTCACTGCCCCTCTCTCTGTGTCTCTCATGAATAAGTAAATAAAATCTTTAAAAAAAAGAAAAGAAAAGAAAAGAAAAGATGCAGTGGGTATGAGTGGGAACTAAGGGGAGGACAAGTGCGGGAAGAAGAAGCAAAGGGAGTGTGGCTTATGAACTTACCTTGGAAGTTGCCTAAGATAAGTAGGTATCCCCTGCCCAACTCTTAGAACTACCCAGGACGTGTATGGGGAGTGGAGAGAAGACACACTTTTCTCTTAAAAAAGTTCCTTTCAGGGGCTCAACAGATTACCAGTCAAATGGTCTACCTTTGTAGACCAATGCTGTGCCACACCTGCCTGCCCCAATCTCTTGATTGGCCCATCCCAAGGTGTGCAGTGGCCCCTCTTGCTCCTGTCAGTTACTGGTTGAGAGCCCAGCAACACTTTTTCTTTTTTCTTTTTCCTCTTCTTTCCTTCTTCTTTCTTTTCTTTTTTTTTCTTTTTTTCTTTTTTTTCTTTTTTTTTTTTTTTGGCAGAGGCAGCTCCCCTTTTGGTAGCTTTTCCACAATGTTCCAATACCCATATATCAAAGCAGCTACCAGATACCTAAAAACAGGATGGAGAGACCTCTACATCTGATTTGGTCTAAGCCTGCACTGAACAAGCTTGAGATCTCCTAAGCCAGCACAGTGGTTTAGTGATGTCACTGTTACACAAACTTAAAAAAAAAAAGACTCTAAAATAGAATTTTAGATATCTGTCAGAAGATAAGAGGAGGCATATTAAGATTTTATTTTTATAGGCTCAGTCTCAGCTGATAGGAAAAGATAGGGAGAAATGTCAGGTGGATGTGGATGGGGGAAGACAAGGAAAAGAGGGAAGAGAAACAAATTCAAGAGATCTCATACATATCTGATTATACTTTTAAAAAGACTGGATTTGAATAGCAAAATGTTGTAGGAAAATGCAATTCTTTGGCCATAGTATGAAAACTAAAACATAAATTATATCATTTATTGATTATATTTTGTAATCTTGGAAAGAAAAAGGAAAAACAAGAGGAAAAGGAAAGGGTGGAGCTCAGTGAATTACAAAATATGTTAGCGAAAGACATCTTTAAGAACATTTCCAGTAAAGCTGTGAAATTATGCTACAGGAATGCCTCACCCATCCTAAAATCTTCATATGGACTAGTGCGGGAATAAGGACAATAATGGAGATTAAGGTCATTCTAATTTAAAACAACTGGAGAGAATTTTTTTTTTTTTTTTTGAGAGAGAAATTCTGATGCATGGCATAGAATGAGGTTAAAGAAATAAAATATGGGGGTTCCTGATGGCTCAGTCGGTTAAGCCTCTGACTCTTGATTTTGGCTCAGGTCATGATTTCAGGGTTATCAGATCAAGCCCTGTGTTGGGCTCTGCGCTGAGGATGGAGTCTGCTTAAGAGTCTCTCTTTCCCTCTCCCTTGGGCCCCTCTTTCCCCCCAGCTTGCATATGTGCTCTCTCTTCTCTTAAAAAAAAAATAGGGATGCCTGGGTGGCTCAGCAGTTGACCTGCCTTTGGTGCAGGTCATGATCCCGGGGATCTAGGATCGAGTCCCCCATCGAGGTCCCTGCGAGGAGCCTGCTTCTCCCTCTGCCTGTGTCTCTGCCTTTCTCTATCAGTCTGCATCTCTCATGAATAAATAAATAAATCTTTAAAAATAAATAAAAATAAAATAAAATAATATATGTGGCATTCCACTCATTAATTCAATAAATACTTAAGAATCTTCAAGTGGAAGGCTGCCAACTTTTACAGGGCCAGTGAGCAGGATAGGGCCTCCACTGAACAATGGCAAATATATGGAAAAGAGAAAAATTTAATTATTTTATATCAAAAAGCTTTTAGAAAGTGAATATGACACTGAAAGAGACCTGACGTTGGATTTCCCATAGGTAGATGGTGTGATAGTCAGTAGTAATGCCCACTGAGTGTTTCTGGTTCTCCATCTTCTGGCAGCACGTACTCTATGGCTTTCCAGGGTTTGGTGGGATCATGCAATTGTTTCTGGGCCAATAAAATATGATCAGAAATGATATATGTTATCTCAGAGCCAAACACTTGATTGCCGATGCTCCAGAACCCTTTCCCTTGGCCCACGTGGAAGAAAACATTTGAGATGGTGGCTATTCCATCACTTGTATCCCTCATTAATTCCTGATGTTATGTTATGTAGCATGAATGAAATATGAACATTTATTGTTTTTTTTGGGGGGGGTTGTTCCTACTGTTAGCATGACTTGATCTTTCCTGATTTATAGGAAGAAGTGAGTTTATATGGGTACTAAAGCAAAGGATAATTTCAGAAGACTGGGGGTCTGTGGACGTTCAGATGCAAAAATTAAGATAAGAAGGACAAAGAAGAAGAGGAGGAGAGAAGAACAAGGAGATGGAGGTAAAATTTTATTTACTTAACATCCTTCTCCTCATCCCACCTCCTTACAAAACGCAGTTCCCCAAATCTGCCTATGATCTGCCTTCCAAGGTTATTTACAGGTGTTCCCCTATATGCATTTATTCCAGTCACACTGCTCCTTATACCTGATAAGACCTGGAAACTCTACCTCCTTCTCCCCACCCCATTGTCTCCCCTGACTCAGTGAGACGACCACAGAACTCATTGTTGGAAACATAGAGACCACCTGGTTGGCATTTTACCAGTGTTGTGAATCCCCTTGTGTTGACCTAAAATCTTTCAGGTAAGTGAAAGATTCACTGCACTTAGGTGAGTGCAGCCTTCTTCAAAG